CAATGATGTCGACATGAAACTCCTTCCTTGATTCCTCTTTACTAACAAGGATCCCCCCTTGAAATATTTGCCTAGTGGTAGTCTGCGTCACGCTCTGAATCCTCCCTAAGATAGCTCGCGAGAACTGCTCATCTGACATATGAACACCTACGACTCCAGCTTGGACACTACGCACCTTCGTCGTCCCCCCGCCTTCTTCCTTCTGACTCACGTCGGCACTATTCTGCAAGAAGATGGCGCCGTACTTCCTCTCCCTCGTCTCTTGGAAAACTTTCTCTGCCCCATTATACGAGGTCTGGGAGGAAAATTCATCAACTTCCACCCTCTGGTTGCGCAACAACCTCTTCACGTCAAGGGGCGGAATCGGACGACCTATTTGGACACTCCTGACATCAACAGCTGTGCCTCCACAACCATCTTCCGGCGACGCCACATCAGCGACTGCAGATTCCTCTGATTCAGAACTGGTGAGTTGCTGCTGTCTCATCATAGCGAGTGGCTTACCAGACAGTCTTCTCGAGCGACTGCCTTTCCTCCCCTCTACTTCTTCCCTGGTGCGAGGAGAGACGACAACCTGGAGCGGGTCTTGGGGCAACTCATCGCGTTCAAGCTTTGCCTGAACAACTTGTTTCTTCCTGTCCTTTCTCTTCTTCTCCTCTCTCCGGTTCGGCAAAGGCGACCTCGACGGGCTCCTACTGCGACGGCGATGATCAGACTTGCTCTGCCTTTCAAGGTACCTTCCCCGCGACTGGCTTCGCTCCCGGTCTTGGAATTTCTCAGGATGTCTGTCTCTGCAATGTGCCGTTAAGTTATCTTTCCTGTTGTATGCTCTGCTGCAATGTTGACATACAAAGCGTTGTTCGTCCTTGTGTTCGACGTCAATGTGACGATCCAAGCTCCTCTTGTGTGCAAAGTACTTCTGGCATGTGAAGCACTTGATTGTCCTCTCGGAGTCCCCTCCCATGTTGATCCCTCAGCACGAACACGATCTGTGCAAGCAACAAAGAAAGAATTGAAGTGATTACTAATCTATGATTTCAGTACAAATTCGAAGCTTCATCCGTCAATCCAGCAAAATAGTCACATAATCATGTCAATGCAATCACGCTAAAGTCAAATCTCATATAGAAGTCGCCCTGGCGCATTCCTTGTCCGTGGTGGATTTCGTCTAGGAACTGGGCTTGGCTGTACAGTACTGTCCGCTTTACTTTGCAACAACTCCCCTTCGGCTATGTCTTGTATCTGCTCAGTTTCTGTTTCTGCCTGGACTCCAACACCATCTTCTACAAGGTCTTCTGTTTGTGATATTCCACTCTCCTCTTCAGCGTGGTCTACTTGCTGACTTGTAGGTTCATCAATCCACGAGGCAAGAGGTTCACCTAAATAAGGCTTTAACCTGTCAGCATGAACTACCATCTTCTTTCCTCGGTTCTTTGCCTGTATCCTGTAGACGACATCAGACAATCGATGAATGATGAGGAACGGCCCTTTCCAACGACGCTGCAATTTGGGAGACAACCCCTTTGTCCTAGCTGAGTTGTAGCACCACACAAATTGCCCGACCGTTAATTCATGTGCATGTGCTTTCCTGTCGTAGACCTTCTTCTGCCTCCTTGAACTCTCTGATGTGTTCTCCCTCGCTCGTTCGTGCGCCAGCCTCATCTTGTTCCTTAGGTTTTCCGCATAATCCGTATCCAGACCGCGATCCAGCTCCCGATCATCCTTGCACAAGTCAGCGGAAAGGTCTATTGGCAGATGTACTTCTCGCCCTAACATCAACATGTTCGGTGTCTCGCCGGTCGACTCCTGAGGGGATGAACGGTAGGCGAAGAGAGCGAGGGGTTACTTCTCATCCCAATCTCTTTTCCGTCTGGTAGGTTCGATGGCCATGGACACAATGGTGATCAACGTACGATTGAATCGCTCAATTAGTCCATCGGATTTCGGGTTGTACGGCGTTGTCCGTGTCTTCTCTATGCCCAAGACGCTACACATCTCTCTGAAGACCGCTGATTCAAAATTTCGGCCCTGGTCCGAATGCAAGACTGATGGGACTCCAAAACGACATACAAACTGGTTCACGAACTCAGTCGCCACAGTTGTTGCTTTCTGGTCAGGTATTGCATAGGCTTCCATCCATCGGGTGAAATAATCTCCCACAACCATTATGTATCGGTTCCCTCGCTCCGACTCGGGAAGGGGGCCCATGATGTCCAAAGCGACTCTTTCCATCGGCATGCCGACTTGGTGCTGCTGCAAGGGGGCCCTCCTGGTCTTGTTGGGTGATTTTTTAGAAGCACATACGTTGCATTGACGTACTGTGGACCTAACATCTGTATCCAGGCCAGGCCAGTAGAATCGCTGGCGAACCTTTGCTGTAGTCCTACGCATTCCGAGATGTCCGCCTGAAGGCCCGCTGTGTATTTCTTGGACCATCATCTTCCTGAGGGCCTCAGGCAACACAACATGCCACTCAATCTGATCGCCTCTGTTTGACTCCCATCTTCTACAAAGGATGCCGTTTCTGATCTCGAGTTGGTCCCAGCATCGCCAATATGCCTTCTTCGCAGCTGAAAAGGAAGACATTGTACTCCAGTTGGCCCGGTCTTCTCCTTTCTCCTTCATCTCTATGACCCAACTCATGGAACTGTCATCTAGTTGTCTGTCTCTCATGTCTGCAGAGGTGATTGATGGCTCGAGGGTCACGGCGTTCACTTTCACTCCATTGTCTATGTGAACTTCTGGGATTTTCTGTTGCTCTTCCAGAGGTGGCTCACCTCCTCCACACTGCTTGCAAGCAACACATGGCCTTCTCGACAGGCTGTCAGCGTTGGAATGAGAACGACCAGCCCTGTGTACTATCTCTATGTCATATTCTGCTATGACCTGTAGCCATCATGCCATCTGCGCCTGCGGGTCACGGAAATTCAGCAGCCATCTCAAGGCGCCATGGTCGGTTCTGACAGTAATTTTACTTCCGTATAAGTACTGTCTGAAATGCTTGAGGTAGACAACAACGGCTAGAAGTTCGCGTCTTGTCACACAGTAGTTCCTTTCGGGTTTGGATAGAGCTCTGCTTGCATATGCGATGACTCGCTCCTTTCCTCCTACTTCTTGAGAGAGTACCGCACCTATGCCCACGTTGCTTGCATCAGTGTCCAGTATGTATGACTTTTCAGGGTCTGGGTATGCGAGGACTGGTGCCGTCAGGAGATGTTCCTTCAACTCAGAGAAAGCGCAGTCACACTCGTTAGTCCAGATGAATTCCCTGCCTTTTTCGGTGAGCTGGTGAAGAGGACGTGCAATGTTTGCAAAACCACCAATGAAACGTCGGTAGTATGACGCCAATCCGAGGAAGCTTTGGACTTCTTTAACAGAAGTTGGAACTGGCCAATCCTCCACTACTTTGATCTTTTCAGGATCGGTAGAGATGCCATCAGGTGACACTACGTGGCCAAGGTACAAGACACTCCTTTTGAAGAGATGGCACTTTCTGGGTTTCAGCTTCAACCCGGCATCCCGGAGGCGCTGGAAAACTGTCTCTAGTCTTGTCAACTCTTCATCTACAGTCTTCGCAAAAACAATCACATCATCGAGGTACACGAGTAGAACCTTCCAGTGTAACCCTGCAAGGACACGCTCCATAAGACGTTCAAACGTCGACGGCGCGTTACAGAGCCCAAAAGGCATGACCCGCCAGGAGTAGAGGCCACCACGGACCACAAATGCCGACTTCTTCTGGGCATCCTCATCTAGCTCGACCTGCCAATATCCTGACGCTAGATCTAGAGTTGAGAACCATTCTGATCCACCCAGAGTGTCCAGTGTCTCATCAATGCGGGGTATCGGAAATGCATCTTTCACTGTCACGTTGTTGAGTCGCCTATAGTCTATGCAAAATCTCTTCGATCCGTCCTTTTTGCGTACCAACACAACGTTTGAAGCCCACGGGCTTTCTGTTGGCACTATGCTTCCAGATTGAAGCATGTCCTGTATCTGGGAGTCAATCTCTTGCTGTTCCTTTGGTGGGAATCTTCGTGGCCTCTCCTTTATCGTTGACGCATTCCCTGTGTTGATGCCATGGCGAACAAGGTTGGTCCGTCCAATATCTGTGTCAGATTTCGCAAATACGTCTTGGTTCTTGCGTAGAAGTTCGGCAATGTTATCGTGAAAGCTGTTGGGTACCTCTGTCTTGCTCCGCTTGACCAAATCAACCAAATGTGGAGGGACGTCACCTGTATCTTCATCGTTGGATGTGTGCATTGTCATGTCTACAACATCAGTCTTTTTCACCGGGGTAAAGTGACCTGCCATTGTGCCTCGCTTGATAGTGCATTCCCTGTCTCCGGGGTTGTACACTCGAATAGGTACTGTGTTGTCTGTAGATTCTGCCAAGATTCTTGCAACCATCACCCCTTTTCTTCCTACTTCGTTTTCCTCTGTAGGTTCTAGGATCCCGAGACCGGCTTCACCAGGATTTCCCTTAATCAATCCTGGGACCAATGCTTCATGACCCGGTGGAATCTTGGTAGTCTCCTCTACCACCACCCTGAAGCATAATCCATGCCCCAGCTTATCACTGCATTTGATTTTGTCTCCATTCAAGTCCAGTTGCAGTTGTTGTAAGTCGATCTTCGCATGTGTTGCTATCAGAAAATCCATTCCAAGGATCCCTTCTGCTGAGCCAGTATTGCCAAATATGACACGAATTGAACAAACCGTCCTGCCAACCTTTAATTCTAGACAGGAGCTGCCCATTGTCTCCATTCTGCTTCCATCAGCATTAGAAACGTTTGCTCCATACCTTGTCAATTCTGGCTTTTTTCTCGTTGGGAATTCGGTAGTATACTGTGTTAGAAAGAATTGTATCTGTTGCTCCCGTGTCTACCAAAGCATGGTCTTGACTCCCCTAATCTCAACTTCAACGTAGAGTCCACTCTGGACACATGCCCTAGACACCTTATGTCTTTCCTGATCAGTTCTGCCCCTTTGGTTGTTCTCTACTGTTCGTCCTTTCCGGTTTTGCCCTTGTTTTCTTGTGGCCTTCCCTCGGGCTGCAGAGTCGGCTCGTGCTCGTTTCCCGACGGATCTTGTCCTTTCTCCTGAGGACAATTCCGAGCCAAATGCCCCTTTTCGCCGCAATTGTAGCAGTTCCGAACTTCTCCACGTGATTGGTTCTTCCACGTTTCTACCTTGTTGTCTCGTTCTTCAAGTTTGAGCTTCATCTCTTTTAACTCTTTCCATATTTCTGTGAGAGGTGATTGCTGTTCCTCCGTCGATCTGGCTAGTTTGCGGTGGATCCTGCTTCTCCCACTTCGTTGGTCTTCAAGGCGGAAAAAGTTGTCCGTGGTCATAGCAGCTTGTATTGCCTCATCCATTGTGGTTGGCTGTGATCTGAAAATGCCCTCACGGATTTCCTGCTCCTCTATTGCTTCTGCAAAGTGTGTACGCGCCAAACGATCACGCGCCTCTTCTGGTAGTTCTGGGTATGCTAATTCAGACAATTCTCGAACAGCCTGACCCAACTCCTGAAGAGTCTCCTGAGGTCCTTGCCGCCTTGAACGTAATTCAAGGAGGTAGTTTTCAGCCATCTGCCCTGGGCCGAACCTTTTCTCGAGCAAATGAACGAGTTCCTGGTACGTTATCCTCGAGAGTTGCCTCTGGCTCCCCATGACTTTGATCGCTGCTCCCCTAAGGCTAGCGGCAAGGAAAATCTTGGCCTCCTCGTCGTTCCAACCATTCGCCAACTTGCATGCCCTAAAATGCTGGATGTAGTCGATCCATGGATTCTTCCCATCGAACTTGTCTGGCACAATGCTGGGTCGGGAAATGCGCGACATTCCTGTTTTTTCTTCATCAGAAACCCAGGACTCAATTCCTGTCTTGTCATCCTTGGTTCCTGTGACATGCCTCCTTCACTCGCATGCTCCCTATCCCACTCTTTTTCCTCTTGGTCGGCCCTTGTAGTTGATCCTCTGAGGTTGTACTCACTTGTTTCACTGTGCAAGTGTTGCCTTGATGTTAATGTGCCTTGTGGTTGTACCTCTCTGTACAGCCTGCTGGGAAACTCAGCCTTATCCATTTCTCCCGTCTTCTCAACTGTTGTGGCAGGCAGTTCATAACTCATTGGAGATCGTACTTCGAACTTGTTGGGATTTCCCCAGTCACGAAGCTGCACTTCTTCATCCCTCCGTCCGTGTGCTGCAGTAGCTGAATCCAGTTTCAACTGAAGGAGGCGATTTTGCTTCATCAACAGCCTGTTCTGTCCTTTGGAGTGTTCGAGGTACTCGTTACTCTCTTGCAGTTCAGCCACCAGGTTTTCTAGCTCCTCCACCGAATGCAGGCTAGTTGCCATACTGCCACACGGTGATCCAACAACTTCAAACTGTGTGCTGTGTAGCTGGGCAAGTGTGCTGAGTGTAGGCGCTATTTAGGTGATAACACGAGGAGCATTATAGGCGCTATACGTAGGTGAAAGGATGTGGAGAATAGGCACTTATATATGTAGGTGAACTAGTAGGTTCAGGTAAACTATAGTAAGTGTAGGCGTAGGTGAACTATAGTAGGTGTAGGTGTAGGTGAACTAGTAGGTTCAGGTAAACTATAGTAAGTGTAGGCGTAGGTGAACTAGTAGGTGAAGGCGTAGGTGAACTATAGTAGGTGTAGGCGTAGGTGAACTAGTAGGTGAAGGCGTAGGTGAACTATAGTAGGTGTAGGTGAACTATAGTAGGTGTAGGTGTAGGTGAACTAGTAGTAGGTGAAGGCGTAGGTGTAGGCGAACTAGCATTCCCGATAATCACTTGATGTTGCTTAATTCCTGCTTCAGCATGTTTATCCCACCGCTGCCACCAATGTAACGGGTTTTGTCCGGGGTCCCTGCACCATTTACCGAGCGGTCAATAAATCTCACGAGACTCCAATCACCCGCACGGTTCTTTCATAAACAGTGAAGCTATCACTCCAACATCATCGATCGCACTCAGATCACGCTACTTTTCTATAATACACGGAAACACAGTGTCATTTTACATCAAAAGGTACTTGCCTTTATTCACGAAGAACTCCAACTTTACAATGTAACTTCCCTTCAACAGCTAGCAGCAGTACTCCGATTCACCCTGTTTCACCTATCTTATCCTGCCCTCCCTAGCTACCTGCCCGAACACGTCCTCTCTTGCTCATGCCTAATACCTAACTGCCCACCCGCATGCACTGACCCACATGCGCCCGCTACGTTGAAACAACTCCGTTACACTATCTCTATGCATGCACCTGCTAGCTACAAGCGCGTTGCTGAAAACGATCTTTAGATCTTCATTAGATCAAGATGGATGTCAACGATACCGACCCAGACCTACCAAGTCTCACGCATATAGCTGGTACCTTATATTAAGTTTTGCATGGTAGAATAGGAACTGTTCCTTGTGCATCGTGTAATTTTTGTAAACACTACATGGCTATAAAATATATCAAATTTGAAATGTATTTTTTGTTTCTTCAAAGAAAGGACTTATGATGACTGTGCATTAAGTCCATGTTGAAGTGTACAGGTTAATGTTATTGCTTCTCTATTGAAATAATGTTATACATTATGAATTTTACGTCAGAGGCGCAATTTGGTTTATTTTACATCGTCAACAACTTAACAGGTAAACCATATCGCAATTTAAAATGCTCAAGGGAATACAATATTTTACAATACTTGTTTAGGAGTACACTTGTTAGAAATACCCGAATAGGGTTTGAATTCTGGCAAAACCATGCGAAATCCTCATTTAGGGTGTATTTTGGCTTCAGAAGAAATCCTCGTTTAGGTGGTGACTTGAAAACCTGTGGTCACGCATGCTTACAGCATTTCTACTTGACTGCAGTGGCAGATCCAGGGGAGGGGCGCGGGGAAATAAGGAAATGAGGAATAAAAAATGAAGAGAATGGAGCAAGGCTCAAACCATATCTTCAAGTTTGGACCTCATAGTACCCGCCAGCCAGCAAGTTTCCCAGATATTGACAACCTACAAGTGGTGTCATTTCTTAAACAGTCGTCAATTTTAAATATATAGCTATGGTTGATACACGAAATAATAATAATAGTAATATTAACAATAACAATACCCCTTAGACTAGAAACTTCCGGCTGCTGCTTTCCGGACGTGACATGCTCACAACAAAATGAAATTCGTAGTCGGTAAATTTACCTTCCTTCCCCCCCCCCCCCCCCCCTCTCTCTCTTTCTCTCTCTACCTTTCGCACACTCTTACTATTTCCTGTTCATTTCCCCTCTATATCAGTTATGAGTATTTGAAATATGATATCACTAAATGTATGCGAATCTTAAATTAACAATTTGGTAACTGAATTGTGACGTATTAAAGAACAACTCTCCCGTTTGTCATGTACCAAACTATCATATATTTTTGTTTTTCTCCTAAGCGCCTTCTCCCTAATAGGAGACACCTCACAATATATTGTAGGATGCACGTTTTTAAATGTTCTGGTAAAAGAAAAAAAAACATTCCTGGGTCATATGTTTTGAAACAATTGATATTTTATTCATGTTGTGTATTGGAGAAAAAAAAGATGTGCTATGTATCTGGCATACAGTCATACAGCCGATCGACTCAATTTGAAGTGCCCATACGTATAAACCTGTATAGTGATTACAACTTCTAAACATTCCTAACTTTCGTTTATACTTTCACAATTCTGCTTCTCCGATTAAACTGCTTTTTTAACATTAGTTAACTACTATTAAATGTTGGATTTCCCTTTATTGTTGTGTCACGTAGCGATGCATTTGTAAGAGAGCTTTTCAGCCTTCACTTGATTTTCAAGTTGTAATTATTGTCATATTTTGTTTGCATTTTCAATATGATTTCAGTCTTCGTGATTAGGTTGAATTGAACTTGAAGTTGAGAGGATGTTGGTGGGGAGGGAGGAATCGGGCGTGGTTTGGATGTTTCATATATAAAAAAAAAAAGAAGGGAGGAAGTAGCTAACATTAATCGTAAGCTAGCTGCACCTGTAAATGCTCGTCAGCGTAGCCTCCAGCCGGTAGCGTTAGCCACAAGGCTATGTCTCATTTAAAAAATGTATTCAAGAGTTCTCCCTTGCCAGTTTTAAACGATTGTTCACCGCTTAAATTGTAGTTTCCTAATGTATTTACTTTCTACAGTCCCATCATATCCTTCTCCAGTCTCCAAACATTTTTTCAACATGCAAATCATGATGGGCAGGGATTTTCTTGTCATATAAAAGCGCACTTAACGTGAACGAGGAAATACAAAGGGCCTTTAAAATTCAAGAATATGAGAAGTATCCCCCAACCCCAACCCCCCCCCCCCGCCCCGTCTTCGATAACAAATGAAAAACATTTTAATAGGGGTTTGCACCTCGCCTGCATACCCGCGTCGAATCAGTTAGGGCTCAACAGAGGCAACCAGGCTTCATGAAAGAACTGCTAACGTTAACATTCCACAGATAGGACATACATCCTGCAAAGTTCTACTGAATTTGATGTTGGCTGCAAAAGGGACATAATATGTTTACATATATTTTCAGTTTTCTTTATCATTTTTATTAAATATCGACAGTTTCATCAAAGCATTTACCAGTCTGTATACTACCATTCAATGTGTTTACAATGATACCCGGGCATTTCTCACATTAAAAGGCCGTACATCTTGCATGGGAGAATACGTAAAGGGCTTTCACATTCAATTGACCGAAATTATTTTATTTGGTGTTTTGTCTTAATCAAGCTCGAACAGGGCTATTATGATGTTTAAAATCTATAATAATTATGTACCTGAAAGAGTTTGTCAAACGTTTATCCTTAATAAATATGTTCATTCATATAATACTTGTTCCTGTATCAAATTTCATTATCCAAAGGTCTCTACCCAGTTAATGTTTTACTCTGTTAGGCATAATGGTCACCGTATTTGGAATGATTTAACTGATAAACTAACATTATGCACTGCTCTGTCATCATTTAAGGTTCAATTGAAGAGACAGTTGATCTCTTCTTATTTCCCTTAACTCTTTCAATTGTTAACTCAATTGTTACTTATTATAACTTTTATCATGCAATGTACCATGCATGTGTGTGTGTTCATCGGTGTGTATCTATAATATGTTGTATGTTATTATATACATTTATATTGCTTGGTAACGTGTACAACCCTGCAATCTTGTAATTTATCATCTATGTCAGGGAACTATTGCTAGCAAGTTTTTCAAACTTCCTTTTTAGTCTCTAATTTCTTCATGATTTCCAGAATTGTAAGATTATGATTTTTCATGTTACTTTTGTATTTATATTATTGTATGGCTTTATGATTGAAATGAAAGATGATGAATTGAAATATACTAATAAACTTACGTAGGCCTCCTGGAGAAAGTGGCTAGAATTCGGACTCATATGAAATTAGAATTTAATTTTCAAGCTTGAAAGTATTCATAATTTGTGTGTATTACATTTTAGTCTGATAAAATAAGCGACTTTAAAAAAAGTGGAAACCTGACTGTAGACTAAAATAATGGAAAAGGATTTCAGATATAGGCCCAGAGGCATTAATGTCCTTGGGACGGGGGCGATACTGCGTTGCAAAATATCCACACATACACGAATAAAAAATATAAATAAAGAAATAAATACAGATTTAATAAAAATTCAGGAAAGGGAAAAGATAAAGAAAAAGAAAAGAAGAAAGAAAACCAAAGAAAATTAGGACAGGAAAATATTAGAGACATAATTTGTGCTTTTTACCTCTGCCACTATGCCACTAAACTGTCTAATTGATAAGGTACGTATTGTTACTTTCGTAGGGCCTTACAAAATTTGAAGAATATACACAAATTTTACTCTTTAAAAAGTACCCTAGAAATATCAATTTTCATTTTTACATGAGTGTATTAAAACATCGAAATGGTGAATATTCTTAGTAACTTCAAACCTATATATTTCATAAATGCGAACATTTTTCTATCTCAAAAAATAATTGTTAAATCTCGTTCTCCTACCCCTTCCTGCAGCCATATATATACAATGCAATTTCTTTCAAACTGAAGGCAGTTATATGCAATACTCCAAGCAGGAGAGCCAATTCAGGGTAACTCGGAGTATTGTTTTTACACCTCCAAATCCAATTTTTTTTTAAATGTTAGTGTAAACCAGAACATAATGTTTGTTAATTACTGCTAAGTGATATATATGTATAAACGTTATTGTTAAAAATATATTTTATGTTTTTTGTTGCATCAGCGCTCTGATTAGTATTCAGCAAAAGCCCTTAATAAGAAATGATCATTATTATACAAATGATGACTTTATCTTCAATTGTTGATCAGGCATGTATCAGCTCACCATTTTTTTTAATTGATTTGTTATATATTGTGCATGCATGTTATAGCAATGTATGTATATTGACATCATGAAACTAGGTTTGTGAAACACAGAATATAATTCGGAAAGAAAAAAAATCCCATTTATTTGTTAAAGATAGTTCAAATATGTACAGTGTTGACTAAATCAAAGCATTGAGAATGTGGAAATTATATTGTGACTTTGATAACTTGAAAATAAACACATATCCGCAAAATTGTTTGATTGTACAATCAAAGTAGTAACTGAACAATATTCCAAGTGTCAAAGATGAAATAATTTCATAGTCAGTTAACAAAAGTCCTTCTGACCGAGGGCGTCGATCCCGGGGGGGGGGGGGGAGTCGTCCCCCCGCCACCCCCCCCCCCCGAAAAATTTGAAAAAGTGCAAAGAAAATGACTAAAGACTGCTACGCAGTTTTTAGGCTCTGGATGGCCCAAGAGTGCAGCGTTTAGACTGACACAAATGCAAAAATGTTCTCGCTCGGTCGCTACGCTCCCTGTACAAAATGTACAAGTTAATATTGTAGAAAATCTGTATTCCGTTGGTATTACGTATAAGCACAGATTACACTGTATGTTTAAAAGATTAAGAGTCATAGAAATAGATTAGTGCTACAAAACGAATATCCAGCTTGCTCTGTTATGGAGTCCCTTCCTGCCTGCGGTTATGAAAATATTGTCGCCTAAGGGGAAATGGTGTACATCTTTTTAAAAACATTAAGTCAAGGTCCTTCATTACATGACTAATTTTCAGCACTTTAATGTTTCACTCAAATTTTGAAATCCCATCCATGCCCAAGCTCCCTACTAACTACAATTTGCCTGCTAAATATTTACAACCCTTCGGACTGCACACTAATTACTGGCAAAGTAAAAGTGGAGTGTGAAAAAAGTATATTGCTTGTTTTTATACTACAATTTTGCTAAGGAATGTAATCTTTTAATACAACAAAAATTCGAAAACCTGTGAGGGGGTATTCACTTCTGTCACCTT